AATCTGCTGCCCTCCAGTTTAAAGCCATTTCCCCTCGTCCTATCACTACAGGCCTTTGTAAATAGGCTCTCCCCACCTTCCTGCAGGCCCCCCTCAGGTACTGGAAGGCTGCTATTAGATCTCCCCGGAGCCTCCTCTTCTCCAGGTTGAACAACCCCAGCTCCCTCAGCCTGTCCTCGTAGCAGAGGTGCTCCAAACCCCTGATCATTTTTGTGGCCCAAATGATTTGCCTAATGGTTTGTATTAAGGCTGCACGGGAAATAATCTGCCTGTCTTCAAAAGCAGATTTGCTTGGCTGCCACCAAGTTCAAAATCTTTTTGAAACATGGAACCCTACTTAGGGCTTTTTTCTGTAAGATGAAGACTACGGCTGGAGTGTGTTAGGTAGGAACAGTCCAACTTTTCAAACACTTTGCTGTCCCATTCAGGCCAAAAATCTGAAAATTTTCTCTCACATCACAAGAGACATCATCATAGTCAGTTGTGGTTTACTTATCTCAGCCAAAATATATTTGCTGATACAATGCAGAATTGTACTTACCAAAGATATTGACAGAAAAGGGATCATTTTTAGCCTAGTGTTAACGACGGAACAGAATAGGGTCCTAAGCTTCGTTTCTTCTGTCCTATTATGACTCCTTAAACCCCTAGACTCTTTCTTCACTATTCTAGGCTTGGCTTTGATTAGAAATTCCATTTCGGACCAGAGAAAAAAACTTCCCATCAAGTCTGGTATGTACATTCCTAAAAAGGAGGACTGGTTTCAAATAATTAACATTCTCTAACGGAACAACTATTTTGTCAGAGGATTCATGATCAGCTCTAATTTGACTTCTGCGTAATTATTAAAGAAGCATGACAGTAATTACTTCAGCTGTGAACATCGCCTTTCCCGAAAAGAGGGCAATAAATTAGATATCAATATGGCAAAATCTGACAAGAGCTGGCGGGGCTTGAAAGCTGCTGCTTCATATTGCATTTCCCAGAAGACACTGACTTGGAAGCAAGTGCTGCTCTGCTATCAGCCCCTTCTGCTTCTTGTACAGCCCTCAAGTGGGACAAGAGGAAGAATTATTTTCAGGCAACAGAATAAACAAGTATGATTTCAGAGACCTTTTCCTCACACTCTACTTTAGGCTAAGACACCTTAGCAGATAATTTTTTAATAGAAAAGCCATACTGCTTTTCTAAAACAGTCAAGCTCAGAAGTTTACAGAGAATATACACTGAAATTTTGTTGTTAGACTGCAGACATTTCTTTCCTTTATATTCTGTATCATGCAGTTATTCTCAAATCAAAGTCAATGCCTTACTTGAGTCAAGCATAAAAAATGTGGCAGGACTAAACATTGCACTTATTAAGCAATTCTTTGGGCAACTGTCACAGAAGCAGTTCCACTGCCTATGTTTACTCTTTCCACTGCTGAAAAAGCCCAGGCTCAACCCATGTCAGAGCCTGAATTAAGAACTGTAACAATAATCACAAGACCAAAATGGTTAGGCATTTTCTGAACTCTAACTTAGCAGAATAACGAGTTTGCAAAACACTATTTTCCCATAAGAAATCTGAATACAACAGCCTCTTGCCATGTCTCACTTCTGTTCCCAATCATCTGCTAAATCTAACCAAAACTAAGAAATCTTAACAGCATTAGAACTTTTATAATTCATTTTGTAACAAGTTGTGGGTGCATATTTAACAAGAACTGAGAAGGGAATTACTCCCAAACCTGTATTGTTCCCCACATTAGCACGGCTTGAAGAAAATTCTTTTTTGTTGAACAGGCATCAACTTGAACCACCTCAGCTGCACCTAGCTCTACATTTTAAGAACTTCATTCCAAAATAAATATTTTACCTTTATCTTAAAAAAAAAAAAAAACCAACAAAAAAACAAACTGATAAAAGCAAACTCAAGTCTGAAGTTTTGCCGTATCTAAAAAGTGCGAAGATAAGTAGTTTTCTGAAGTCATTCCTTCATTTTTTTATTATTAAGCGTCTTGCAGGAATCCCAATTTTGGGTTATAAACAAGGCTTCCCAACTGTAGCCCTTCTAATTGCAGTTTCACATTTTTAAAATTGCTTTCTTAGATCTTTTGTAAAAGAATTAGGCCACACACTGCACAGATGTGGCTTCAGATGAAATAACAGCACAAACGTTATGAGAACATGTTTTTTTTTCCTCCAAAACTAGACATTTGTTCCTTTATGAAACAGGCTTGTCTTCTTTAGAAACAGAGATATGAAAATCTGAGGGAAATGGAAAAGGACTGGGTGACTGAAAAGATCATGTGCACATGGTTATACCTTTTATTCCCACTTTGCCTTTATGAAACCAAGCATATTTTCTGGACGGATACTGCAGCTTCCAGAAGGAAATTGGAGAGGCTCAAACTACGAGTCAGTCAACTGAGAAGGCAGCCATAATACACCTTCACAGAAAAAGCCAAACCAAGGTCAGAAGCTCAGAAGTTAAACTAAGAAATTTTCAAAGCGTAAGTAAGATAGCTTTAAGTATGTAGCTATAAGGCTACATAACCTTTGAGAAAACAGTAGCAAATGAAAATTACTTTATACATTTACATGGCTTCATAATATCATGCTGGTAACGTTACAAATTAAGCTGAAGAGTTATGGGCACCTGTTACACTAGTGGTCAGGCTGTGGTCAAAAGATCATTTACTACCAACATTTTACTCAATATACTCATATTTACTCACGTATACGAGGGTGAACATAGGAAGGAGGGAGATGAGGAATTCCGAGGTCAAATAATGTTAAATGCTTTACAGTTTACTAAAATAACTTTTATTTTGCTTTATAACTAGCAGGATTATTTTGATCTCTGGCTGGCAGTGACCCCATGTTTTGCATCAAACTTTATTTGGTATAAAACCACAAAAAAATTGATATAACTGGATTTAAATGCCAAAGGTGAGAAAACTAACAAACTGGGGCCTATTCCAAAGTATGAGTTTGCACGAGAGGCTTTCTGACCTAAAGTAATTAATTTATTTGAATCTTTGAAGCTAAGAGCCCAGCAGGGTTCAGGATCAAGCTGATTTCATGATACTTTTTAAAGATTTCTCCCTACCAAATTTAATAAACATGAAGTCCTACAATGTGTATTCATTTATATTGAAAACTGAAAAATCGGAAAGTAAACCATGCTACCAGAATTGTGTTAGAACATAATCAGCAACTGAGACACTGTTCAAAACTAAATATTTTATGGTGCAGGGGAACAATTTTCGTACTGCGGACAGTTTTTAATTCCTGTATGTTTAGCTCCAAAGAGAAGACATGAAAACTTATTTTCCCATGGCTCTAGCACTTACTCATTTGATCCTCAGATAACATGCATCTTCCGCGTAAGTGTTATTTACACTCAGACACTAAGGTCTGTGTTAGACAAACATCTTTGTCAATATGGACTTTTCAACTATTCAAAATTCCTTTAAATGTAAAAGATACTAGCAACCCTGGAACTTTGCCAGGTCAAGCATCTGTAACTACTGAACACAGCCTATTTCAATACCAAGCCCTTAAGCTGTTTCCTGAAACAGGATGTATTTGTCTACATAGTGATTGTATATTTATTTTACTACAAAAATGCTTAGCAAAAAAAAAATAAAAAAAAAATCCCACCCTTCCACACTTTGGGCAACTAGATCTGAATTTCTTTCAGACGTAATGCCATGAGAGAAATAGCCATAAAAAGAAAAATATACACAAATAGTAAAGTCAGTTCAGTATTTTAAGTCTATGTTTAAATAATTCAATGAATTACTGTGAACATATTTTCTTACCAGATGATTGCTGTTATACCTTAAAAAAAAAAAAAAGCAGAAAAATGGCTGCTTCTTTTCCTTGGTGATACACCACCACAAGCACAAAACTTAAAACTTGCAATGGCTATTATAATTTTATAGTACAGATCAAAAACTCTTCATAATTTACTGTTTGAAATGGAAGAAGTGGAATCAATTTGATCCAATAAAATAGCAAACCATTCCACAACCAAGGAACAGTTTGATTTGTCTCTCAGTTTGCTGAGAAATACACCAAGAAATTCCTGGTGTGTTACAATTTTGAATGTAAGTTCATTTTGTGTACAATTTTAACAAATTTGCATTATCTACAAGAAGGGAAATACTAATATACCAGCTTATCCTAAAGAAATTAACAACTTTTAGACATTAACCCTGTTTAAAGCTATAATTTGCTGCCATAATGCTCCTGGAGGTCAGATTCTTCTACCTGTTTCATATAATCTTTATACCCAACTCCGTATATAGTAGGGATCAGACTGCTTTCTAACTGGCAAAGTGTATAATCAGCTTAGGCAGATTTATAAAAGAAAAATAAAGAAATTTTAATTTAACCAGCCCTGACTGCTGAGCATTCTACAACTTGTGGCACTCAGCACCATTGAAGACAAAACCGTAAAGCTTAAATAACACAGCTTATTATAGAGTCAGTGCAGGCTGACTCTAAACGACTATCTTAATGTTTGTCTTCAGTGTGAGAAGAATCGAAATGTTAATAAAGTACAGCTCTAATGTAAGTTCTGCTCACGCACTCCTTTGATTGCATGGATGATCGGAAAAGGGGAGATGGTTTTTAATGCAAAGCACTCCTCTATCAAGGAGTTTAGGCTGATGTTTCAGCTAGCAGTACTTAATATCAAATTCACAGAGCTGGCACACATCAACATATGGGAATATCATTAAAAATGCTTTTTCTGAAATTATTCCACCTGGACTAAAAGTTTTGGTGTTCTTATTTTTAATCTTCCATTGCTATGTCCGTTTCTGTATTTCAGCAGTCTTCCACATTTTTCTTAAATGAAACTTATTTTTGGCAAGTATCTCCTGTTCCCTCCTGTCTTACCACATTTTAAAAAGGAATGTTTATTTATACACAAAACCTACACCATCAAACATTGGTTTAAGTTGAACAATCCCCTTGCAGATATGTCAGAATCTGAAATCTTAGTCTAAGAAAGCAAAAACTGTTTTATTGTCCAGTGAAGAAACAAAGCTTTACAGCGCCTCTCAATACTTCGAGCAGATCACCTAATTGGAAAAGTAATTTTGATTTTTACAGATGTCATTATCTTAAGCTGAATTTTGATTTATAAATTTGTGATCCTTCCTTCTGCATCACAGCTTACGTACTTTTTTAAAGAGGTACACAAATACACAAATACCAGATTATGCACTCACTTAACTATTTGTTGTCAAAAGGTTCCTCATGGAAAATAGGGTCTTGGTTTTGTAAGCCTTTCCATGTACCTTCTCTGAACTGGACGCTAAATAGTCTCAATGATGATTATCAGAACACAGTCCATGACAATATATGCCATACCTTGTTAGTCTTCAGGACAATCTCCCAAGATAACAGCATTCAGAAAGGTAACTGAAACGGGTACGCTGAGCTTCACAATTTATCTATCATATTAGAAAGGAAATGGTTAATTATAAAGGGTCTGGTTTCTGAAACACTGCTTCAAGTGTTTCACAGAAATGCTTAAGTAGTTAGACGCATAACACCAAAAAATCCCCTAACAGATGATGTTGATCCCATTCCTTTGCCAGATTTTAGGAAGAAGAGAAGATGAAGCACAGTTTTGATAGATCTTAGATGAAGAAGTTTAAATTTGTTTTGCAATAAGGTTTTCAAGCATTTAAACAGAATCAGACACTCTGACATAGTTTTCTCCCTCTCAGTTTATTATCTTTTCATACACATTCCAAAACACTAAGCTGCCAGTCTGCCGTAACATACAGAATGAGCAGCTTTGGGAAGTCAAATTAGTTTCTTGTACTGCTGGAGGCCCACAAAATAACTCGCAAAACCAGTCAGCTCCAATGCACAGTATACCAATAATCTTTACCACAGAACAGGTATACACTAGTGTGCTAAACAGAACTACATACTGTAAGCAGTAATATTAAAAAAATGTCATGGCACATCTGCACACAGTATGTAGGAAGGGAGGGCCTTTAATGTCATTTCAACATGACTTGGAAAAGAAACTGTAGAATGAAGTCACTGTTATCAATCCTCTTCAGAGGTAGATTCATCTTCCTGGTCAGAAAGCTCAGCAACAGGAAAGCGCAGGATGGCTGCCACCCCTGTCAGCTGGCCAAGCTGCTCTCCAGACACATGGAGGCTGGAGAAAATGCGGACTGTACCCATGTTCTCCCGCACACTATCTACCAATTTAACGTATCGGGCACGTGTAGCCACATCCTGGTGCCGGAAGAGTTCATCACTGATTAGCAAGGTATCAATGGCCATGGCTTCATTGGCTTTCTCCACATGTTTTAGACCATAAAAAGCCCGGTCAGGCTCATGCTGCAGCATTTTATAGAAGTCATCTAAGGCTTTGACCTCACCAGCTGCCTTAGTGTCAGAGAGACGGCTAGTTACAGCTGGGTCGCAGAGGGCTTCCTTCAATGCGTATTTATGTCCCGAGGAAGAGTGGACCTAGAGTAAAAAAAGTCAGAGGTTTGTTTTTTTTAAATAAAAAGGGACCATATTCTTGGTTAGCCAATCACAAACAGTTTCCACAATACGTATTTATCTCCTTAACTATTCAGGGAAGTTATTTTTCTATTGAAATTCTACATGATTCTTTTTTTAAGGGATCTCTCCTGCAACCCGAAGTCTACACCAAATTCTTAAACTGTATTTTAATAAGTGCAAGAAAGCTGTTTCTCTTAGTCAAAGACTGGGTTAGATATGCAAGCTGCTGCAGTCAGTCCCCGTGGCAGGGCCACCTGAAACTACTAAGAAACCAAGGCTTAAGCCTTTTCCTTTTAAAGCATTCAAGAAGAGGAAGACCTCTTAAGATTGCAGACATGTAGTGCAAAAGCCTCAAGTCTTGCACAGCTGCATAGCTACTATGCTTACAAGGATGTAAAGTACATTAAAACTTTTCACACAATTATCACTTTGCTACAAGTGCAAAAGTAGGCTTCTTGGCGCAACTTATCTCTAGGTAGCGAGGTACTTTTCTCAGCCCACTCGTGCCCTGCCCTTTTACAAGCACAGATTACAGGTTAACTCCAATTAAAAAATGATACAAGTATCCTCATGAAAAGGAAAACTTACCTCTAGGCTCCCAGTGTGCCTACCTCAGTGAAAGGCAAAAAACCCCACCCACTCAACAATGAGAAACTAAGGAAAAAATGCTAGGGTCTCTATAACCTTTAACTATGTAGTACAAAACTAACAACAAAATTAACTAGCTCTGTCACATCCAGGTTTTTTCTTCTTTAAAAAGTTTTAGAAAGCTGTTAATAAACATGCATGCCACACTGTATGACAGATTAACACTACAGTTAAACTATTTTCCAACCTGCACTTCACTCTTGATTGAAGATTAAATATACCCTTATAGGGAGTTTGAAATATTTAATACTTTCTCTACTCCACGCTAAGGTATCCTAGGAAAGAACCATCCCCGTATCTTGCAGAATTACCTTATAGTTTGGGAGGCAGGAGAATAATTCCCTTATAATGCTCGGATAGAAATTTATTTTCTCTAATAAGTGGATTTCCCCTCACTGTTGTAATTATCTTCTCTTATCACAGACAGCTCTTAAACCTCCCTATACCCACTCTGCAGACTGTTTAGCTCCTTACCTGTAGGAACTTGGACCTGTTCTCTAGCAGAAGCTTGTTGTCAGTCTTGACTGCCTGCTGGAACATGTAGTCACAAAACTGCTCCCGTACGAAGCCTGGGCTAGCCACTAGGACACATTTCACCACCTCAAAGTTGATATGCCGCTGGATGGCTTGCACCACCTGCTCGTAAAACCTCTCCAGGGCCCGGTCGTGCTGACTGCAGTTCCCTTTCCGCTTGCGGGGGATGTTCACCTCCACCTTGGCACGGGTAAGCGTCATGCTTGGAGTGACCAGGCAGACGTGAGCCAACCCTTCGTGCATGACCACGGCTGCCACATCGGCGCTCCAGGCTGGGTCACAGGCCTGCTCGATGCGCTCCAACACCACGCTGTCCCACTGCTTCTTCGCCAGTGTGAACTGCCGGTTGGGCTCTAGCTCAATGGTGTGGTAGGCCCCCATCTTCACGTACTCGTTCTCTTGGATGTTGGTGCCCTTCACCCGCAGCTGGCAGGCCTGTGAATCAAAGTCGATGGCCTCCACGCAGAGGGTGAGGGTGGTGCGGATGCGGTTGCTGCCCACGCTGCCCGTGGCCGACTCGGTCTGCACCTTCCGGATGGTGGAGGCCCGCAAGCTGTCACCCACCTGCAGCAGGTTGTAGGTGTGCCACATGTCCTCGGGTTCCTCGGGGATCAGCGTCACCTGCCCGGCATTATCCTTCTCCAGGTCCTTCCTTACCAGCTTCATCCTGGCGGTTCCTTGCGCCCCGGCTTCCCCTCGGCCGCGGCGGCTGCGATAAGCAGGCCTGTCCCGGGAGGCCTAGCGTCGGGAGGCGTGCGCTCCCAGCCGATGGACGATGGGGCGGCCTTTCCCGAACACCGGCGCTAGGCCCGCGGCGAAGCCCGGGCCGATCCCTCAGACGCGGCGGGACGGCGCCTCCGTGCTCACTCCGCCGGCTGCCGGGCGCATGCGCACGGCCCGGCCGGACAGGCACCGCTCGGACGCGCGCCTCCCCCCTTGCCTTGCCGCCTCTGCGCCCGGCACGCATGCGCCCGCGCGCCTTCGCCCGCGGAGCCGGCGCATGCGCAGAGGTGCGGGCGGGGAGGGCGCTGAGGGTCGGTGGGGAAAAGAGGTAGCAGCCGCCCGGGGGGACCGCGCAGGGACGGAGATCACCAGAGGGAAAGCTTCTGCGGGGGAGTAGGAAGCAGCCGCGATCCTCCCTGTGCCGTGAGACAGGAGAGGGCTGTACATTGGCGTGTCCGCCCGCTACAGCCCCTGCGTGAGGCAGGAGGAGAAAGGGGGGTGGGCGGGGGAAGGCCGCGGCGGCCCTTCCCCTCTGAGCTGTTTACTGCGGCGGGTCCAACTTCCCAAGACCTCTCCACAGCCCCTCGCGTTTGAGAAGAGAAAAAAAGAAAACCCGAAACCTAGGTAGCTGTGGTTACAGACCAAGAAAGACACAGCCAAAGCCAGTTCTCTGGGCGCAGTGAGAGGCTGCGCCTGTACCTCAGGCAGGGTGGCCGGGCAGCGCCGAGGAGGCAGCAGGAAAACCAGGCCCAGGCACCACCTGAACCCGAGTTGTTAATTTCACATGGCTCTTAAGCTGAGCTTCACCTCAGCAGTTGTTTTGGTTAAACTTGCAAGTAACAATTCAGACCGTACCGAAACTTCTCCTGCTTCCTGAGTCTGCTAGTTCTCAGTCAGAATGAGGCAGTTCTGAGAAGTTTCGAGAAGCAGATAAGCACGTTTCACATGAATTTTGATGTTGACAAATGCAAGTAATAACCCTCGCAAAAAACCTTTTAACTAGCACACAGATTAGTGCACTGATACGTGCACAGAAAAGGGACCTGAACAATAACTAGACAGCTCAATTTGCAGCCTCAACAAATTTAAAAGCCAGAAATAATATAAAAAAAATCTAATGTCATTATGCAAGTACTGCAGATTATTTTGAAGTGGTGTAAGGCGATGAAAATTCCATTTAGGAATGAATGTTGCAAATTTAGAAAGACTGAGGAAAAGAATGGAGAATAGAAAAACTTTGTATGAAGAATAACTCGAACAAAAATATTTGAGAAAGCAGACAAAGTGGACAATTGGAACAAATACAGTAAGTTTGGAATGTCTACACAGTCTGATAACTGAAAGTCAAGAGGACATCTTCTTAGAGATGAGAAAGAGGCCAATTTAGAATTGTTAAAATGAAAGTTTCTTGTTTCTTTTAGTGATTTCTTTTTTTTTTTTAAACAAACAAAAACCCACAAAAACCCCAAATCAGTGTGGATTATGGAATTTTCCAACTTGGAAAGGCTTTGGAGTCAAGGATTTAACGAGATACAAGGCTACTGTGTGCAAAAATGATCCCATATCTCCCGTTATGGTATACATATAAATTTCTCCCAAGTATGTAGCACTAGTTAGTTGTGACAGGACACTGAACTCAGATCTGGCCCACTGATGTGTGTTCCTTATTTCTGAGCTTGATACTAATGTAAAAACAACTTTATCAGATATTACATAATGGGATTTATTTATGAGACCTCAGTGTCTCTTCCTGTGAGTACACATGCTTAACTCTTGTTAGCATGAATAGTTTCACAGAAGGAAGCCAGACTACCCAAGGGAATATAGCATAACACACATGTAAATAACTGTTTGTTTAACTTGGGCTAGTACATACTCATAATTCTGTATTAAGGTTTTGCCGCTTCGGAAGAGACTGTGCATTCAGCTTTTTTTTAGGAGTTTCACTTATGTATGTAAATGCTGCATGATGGATTCTCTTCTTGATGTTCTTAGCAATTATAAAATTGCAAGGGTTGACCCTCATGGTATTCTTTCAAGAAAAATTAGCTGTAGTGCATATTTACCTTCCACATTAATTTTTATTCTTTTGCTGCTGTGGATTAACAAACTTTTGTCTGCTTGTTGGTTCCACTTTAATTTTTACAAGCAGCCTGACATGCCTGGAGATGCAATATATTTTAGATAAAAGTTGCAAGTTGGCATCCAGTACCATCAGGCAGAAAATAAACATTCACTTCACATAAGCAGGTGACTCTCTGCATTAAAAAAACCAAAAACCCAAACAAAATCCAACCCAAAACAAAGTTGCCACTCAACATGTTAACTGTTGTTATAGAAAGTGACATTTTGAGATGCACTGAAGTCCTTTATCAAATAAAAAATCCTGAGATTTTCAGTTATGAACAGTTATCCGCAACTATTTAGTGGCAACCATAAACTTGATGATGATGTATCCACAATTAGCAAGACCATTGTCAACTTATAAAGGAAAACGTTTACTAGTGATGATGCTTTGCATACTCTGGTAAAAAGTGAGTACTGGGTATTGTTGTTTGTTTCAATATGTCAAAGAATGAGCAGTAGAAGTAAAACAACATTTCCAAAAATTTAACAACCATATAACTGTAAGATTTTAAGTTCATACTACTTTTGCTGATTTCAGGGACAGAGATGAATTTGACCTAAGTAGAGCCAAAACAAATGGATACTTCTAACTCTACATACAGTTTTAACATAAGAGTTCAAAATTATATGGTCTGTTTCAGTCATGTTAAGGATTAAGACTAAGTATAGAACCTTACAGTTCTCACCGTTTATCACTATTAAAAAACAATTTTCTATATACTAATAATTTTAGCTGTTTGGCATCATTTTCAGACCTTCTTAAGTACAAGACAAGATAAAAATGATAATAGCATATATTCATAAGGATTTTGAAACAATGCTGTAGTTGTAAGATTATTAATTTGAGAACATTTGAGACACACTGCCCTACATCTTCAAGTCTTGATCAGCTGCTTTATGAATGTGGGTTGTGTACAGATTTTAGACAAGGAGAGGTCAAGCTCATGGGAAATCCCCTTTCCCCAAATTACGGCCATTTTAGCTAGAATGCATGCAAACATGCTTAAGTCCTGGATAAGAAAAAACAGTGGGAAAAAATCTCAAATATAGGGGGAAATCTGCTGAGAAATGTTGGACATTATTGTCACAAGAGCAAAGGAAGATAAAAGATAAAGCTGGAGAGAGAAACTATGGAAAATGTATTTTTCATGCTTTCCCTTTGTCCTGTGTCCTTTTGCAGGCTCTGGACAGAGACTGCTTCATTTCCTGCCTGCAGTTCTGTCTTTAGGTTTACTGGTGTTTCCTATCATAAAAATGAATACTCTTAATCAGTACCAACAACATGATCATCACCAATGAGGAGAGAATTCCAGGAGGGCACAGACTACGCATAAAACTGTAAGTGAAGAAGCACTGAAAAGTAATGGAACCCTTTGGACTGATTTCTTCCTTTCTCTTCTGTTGAAATGTAGAGCTGGAGAACATTTCAGTAGATCCCTAGTCAAACCATTTACGGCGAAGCCAGATGAAGTAAACCTCAACCATTCCTCACAGGTGTTTATCCAACTTCAAAACTTTCAGTGAAGGGGATTTTGCAGGGTTGGGTTTTTCTGGTAGCCTGTCCTAGCAATTAATTACCTGAAGAGTTAAGAAAGTTCTTCTGAATAATCTCTAAGGTTTTTTTGCATAGCAAGTTACATTGATTTTCACTTGTCCTTTGTTGGAGGTGGAGATCCAACTATTCATCAATCTCTTTATAGAAAGTCATGATTGAATGCTCTCACAAAAAAAAGAAAACATTGACATTTGGAAGAGTAGTCTCACTAACAAGACTTTTGTAAAAATAAGGATTTGAAATGCTCAGCACTTTGCCTCTGGTTTTCTCTTTTCTAGATAAACAAGCCTAACTCATCCAGTCCTCCTTCACAGACCATTTCCCTCATCCCTTATCAGGCTTGTCACTTCTCTGTGGGCTTCTGCCTGTTTGTCTGCATCTGTAAGACTTCCTGTACTCAAGATTCTCGGAGGCCTCACCAAGTTAAAAAAATAATCTGCAGTAAAATACACAAACATACACCTCTATGCACCTCTTTTATTCTAGAGGTGCTAATGTTGTCTGCTGATGCATGCCAGATTATTTGCCTTTTTTTCTTCTTAAGGAAGAGAAGCATATAATTTATTTGCATTTATTTTTTTATTTCACCATAATTCTAAAAGTCCTTATCCTTATTTTCCTGACATTTTGACTTGTTATGTAGGACTACTTCTCTTACGTATCTGAGAAAATTTGAATCCCTCCTTCCTGGTATCTGTAATGCATTGCCTTACTTCTAAGTGCATTCTATTTCACACCAACTTTTTTAGAAAGAAAAAAAAAACCACAACAAAAACTAATACACCCCTGACAGATCTGGATGAGACCCACCCTTGAGATATTTTTCTGTCAATAAACTTTTTTGTCATTACTGATGAATTATCTGTCAGCAGTACCGGTGGCAGGTTTGCAACTCTGAAGGGAAGTTGTGGCACACTAAATTGTTACCACTTTGCAAAGCCTCCTTCCGTGAAGGAACACAAACAAAAAGCATATTTTGGCAAATATCCCTGTGTAATAAATGTAAAAGCACATCTACGAGCAAGGGCTAAATATGGCACAAAGTAGTACATTCAGATTTTCACATTTTTCTGTATCTGTTCTTTCTTGCACAATAAGCATGGAGTGAAGAGGGAAAAGCCTTAGTCTTGCCTTTTCCCCACTTACTGCTGCCTGCATTTTGACAATTCTTATGAAACTGATTTGTTCCTCTGTACTGCCTCAGGTTCACTGCGAGTGCTCGCTGCCGGCGCAAGAGCTGCCGGGGAGCGCGGTGTCAAAGTTTGCAAGCTCACGAGTCCCAGCATTGCCTTCCCCTCTTTCCCACTTCTTGGATTCCCCTCATTTCAGGTCCAAGATGTTACTACAGACTGACTAATTAGGGGAGATTGTTACTCACTGTATTTGCTTCACTCAAAAAGCAAGTTAGTCCCTAACAATAAATGAAACCCTAAAAGGAAATATTACATATTGCGTCTCCGGATGAACTCATTTGTCTGAAGTTCGTTGGGTGCAGTTAACTCCCTCACTTCCCTTTTACCACTCAGACCATCTGAAAGCCCAGCAGAGGAAAACAGAAAAACTACCCTAATTCAAAACCAAAACCCAAACAAAACAAGTTGCCAGGTGCACCTCTTTTCCCAAGCTGGATTCAATTACAGAGTTTCTTCTCACCCATTCATCCTCATCTAGCAGCCTTCGCCCCTCGCCCCAGGGTTTTAGGCTTGGTTTAGGGATTAAAGTTGCCAGAGAAAGGCAAACCGAAGGAGCCCATGACGGGCTCCAGCTGGAGGGCAGCTCCGGGACAGGGGTCGGGGAGGGGACGCGATCCCTCGGGTGCCAGCCCCCGACAGCTTCACCCCCCTCCCGCACACAGCAGTGTTGCTTTGGGGACCCGCGTCTTCAAAGCAAGACAGAACGGCGGGCTTCTCCTCACCTGTCAGCATCCAGTAGGAGGCAGCCATGCTTGGGCTCTTGCGAGCCCGGGGCTAGTAGCCCGGGGCGAGGGGCAGGAGTGGCGGGAGCGGTCCTGCCGCCGGCGCGCCCGGCGGTGCTGCGCTGCGAATGGAGCTCAGCGCTCTGCGCCGCCCGTCCGCCTTGCAGCCGAGTTAGGCATTTCCTGTTTGTTATTCAGTCTTTACGCTACTTCTTCTCATCAAGAAGAACTTAGCTTCCTCCCCCCAGCACACAACTTTCCTCCCTCCCACCCACCCACCCCCCAACAAAGACCTCTGAGCTTTGGAAACCTCCCCGCAGAACTAGCCCAGCGTTAAGATGTACAAATAAAGCCAATTTTTTCCCACCCCTAAGCCTCTGGCTGCAGCCCTCGGAGAGCGCAACAGACCTTAAAGGGACATCTGCCCGCTCATAATTAATTTATAAGTCCCCCGCCAGCCAGCCCCCCTTCCGCTATGGCAGGAGAGAGCTGGGCATGCTCTACGGCCACCTCTCTCGACCTTCTCAGCAGGAGAAACACATCGTTGAGGTAGGGGGTGTGATTGGCTGGTCAAGTTTAATTTCTTTTACATCACCCCTTAAAAACGCACTCTGTGGCCCGTCATTTGCCTGCAGGAGGAAGGCAGCCACCCGCTCCCCATTCTCAGCAGCTCTGGGATGTAGTAACTCCTCAGACAGTGGGTGATTTTCTCGAGTCTTTATGTCTCCCTATGCTTTGCTGCGTAGAGGAAATACCAGATAACTGCCTTTGCCCTCGTTTAACTCAACATTTGCATGGCATCCCTTCTCCCTCTTTCCCAACCCCCTAGACGACTCTGTTAATGAATAACCAAATAATCACAAAGGTAATAATCTGCCAGGTTCAGGCCTTCGAGTAGGGATTTTCAGGGTTCGTTAAACACTCGGTAAAAGAGCAGCTTGCAGGACTTTTTCTTTTGGTGTTTACCAGAGTGATGCTCAGATGGAGTGCCATCCCTTCAGTAGCTATGAGTCCCCACACTAGTCCTGGTGAAAAATCAGTTTGTTGTTCATAAAACAAGAGAATCCATGGTCCCTCAAGAAAGAAAAAGATAAATCAAAATACTCTATGAAGATTTGGAGATCTTGGTGCTACTAGAAGTTTTCCCCATTTTTTGTTTGAATTGGAGCAAAGAATTCAGTGAATAAGTGAAGTTAGTGGAATTTTTGTAAGTTTCTCTGAGACTAATAAACTACAGCTCTTAGTCATCACTATAATAGTTAAACACATCTTCCAACTTCTGTCTTAATTTTATGAGAACACTTTGGGTGCACCTTTTCTTGTAGATTTGTGGAAATCTTAGAAAGCTGCACAATTTCAAAGCTGGATTTAAAAACAAAGGCTCTCATTCAGTAATAATTTATGCATATGCTTGTCTTTACACATTATAAAATGTATTTAATTACCACAGTGGGACTACTCAAAGTGAATGAAATTAAGCATGTGTAACTTTTGCTGAATGAGTATCTATCTGAGCTCAGTTGGTACCAGCTTAAAAGACTAGACGCATTTTTCCAGTTAATGGTTTTTTGCATAAAATGAAAGGAAACCAAAATGGCATTCAAATTAAAAGAATACTGAGGTTTTGGAAAAAGCTGTAATTTCATATTTTGCAAGGGAATTGTATTATTACTGCCGGTTTTACTCCATTTTGAAAGGTGGCAATAAATTGCTGTGGGCTGTTTGGGCTTTTAAAAACAAATCTTTGTATTCCTTTTCTGTCCTTATACTTCAACTAAATGTACATAAAGGAGTTGAGCTTGCTTCTAAATTGTAGTGAAGGATTTCTTTCTGTGATACAATTAACTACACCAGATGAAGAAACAGAGAAAGTTCATATGGATTAAAATAATCAGTTCAAACCTGTTCTAAGTATATGTGACATTTGCTACATGTGTGGGGAATGTACATTGTGTTGGAGAATAATGCTTCTTCAGAATAAAAAGAAACATTCCTGATGTAGGATTATTTCTAATTTCTTCCACATTATTCTTGGTATTTTCATCTCTTGACTTCTTTTTGTTATGGTGTCCTATGCATGTTGCATCAGGCAATGTCAAAAGGAAGATATTAGGAAAGATGGAGTGAGCTGGCATTTCTAATTAATTTGCACACATTAAAAAAAGTAGAATACATTACAGACAAACAGATCATAACTTATTTTGGAATACCAAGCTAATTCAGAAAAAAACAAACTCCTATTGCTTGTAAAACTGCTGGAGTGAGCTAGCATTTCTAATTAATTTGCACACATTAAAAAAAGTAGAATACATTACAGACAAACAGATCATAACTTATTTTGGAATACCAAGCTAATTCAGAAAAAAACAAACTCCTATTGCTTGTAGGATCTTCATTTTTTCACAGTTTTTGTTGTTTTGGATGCAGTCATTCACACAACTGTTCATAACATCTTGCTAAATGCTCTTCTTTTTTATACATTAGTAGTAAGGAACACATGTATATTAAGCAGGAATGCCTAGATGAGGTGCACTCAGTAGTTAAGATATTAGGTAATTTCAATATCTGCATAACAAATATTACTAGTTTCAGTGGATCACAATAGTATAGAAAATGAAGAAAACCTATAATAACAGGTAAAACACAAAGGTCAAATTAGTTTAAAGACTATAATTGTTTTGCATGCTCTTTTATGCCTTTATAAAGTGTCACAGAGTGCTGAGGAAGGATTTTTTTTCTAGTGCTATAAATTAAATGTGATTTGTCACTTTGAATTCTGCCTCCCAGCTTAGTTTCAGCTACGTATTTTAGAATATACATTATAAAATAAGTATATTTGTAGTTCCATGAAATCTGATATAAATATTTGTGATTTAAGATTAATTCAAAGACTTTGGAAGATTAGACTGTGAAAAGATAACAAAAAATATCATTAGGACCCAATTATTCTTTACTGAAGAGAGTGTTATTCCTGCAAAAACAGTGGAAATGCTTCCTACCCCAAAAATAAGGGGTGAAGGAACAGGAATGAAAGCTTTTCAAATAGTTTCAAATGCAGGCAATATTCTAAATAATGTGACTTTAATGTACATAGAACCTATGTTCTGTGGAAATTTTTCTTCTATTCTTATAAAGGATATAAGCAATTTTAATTTTTGCTTGTTAGGTAAAAAGGATCTCAAACCTGTAGCACAAGAGAGCAATGAGTAACGCGAGACTTTAACTTCAAATATTAAGAAGCGTGCCTAACTTACTTCCATTAAAGGAATAGTGTAACAACATCCATAATTGTAAGAGAGATGTAACACGTTTCTGCAATGTTCACTGTTGTTGTTACACTGTATTATGCACTGCATGGAAAATGCTACAGAGCTTATTCATATAGCTTCTAAGTGAAGATCTGTCACTGAAAGCTCTTATTATCATGTTTGATGTTTTACATTGTACTGTAGATTAGTGATAATTTACATTTACATTTTTTTCTTACACTTGTTTATTCACAGTCTCCAAGCTGTCTTTCACCTTGATTACTCTGTTGTTCATTTTCATAGTCTCCATTTTTTCCTATGTGATGCTAGGACCATGCTAGAATTCACTTGGCAGAACTTGTGGGGCTGTAGTCTTATTTTTATTATGTCTGAGATACTCAAGGTCTCCTTCTTCAAGTACCAGAACTAAGACCTTGCAGGATTTGATATGGTTCCAGCAATACTCTATGCATAAATCTTTTCATGTTTTACAGCTCAGCTTTTAGCTGATACTTGATATTCTTGGAGAACACCCATGTTTCTGCTCAATCTGTATTAACCAGTGGTACAAATGTGCCAAAAATCCTCTTTGCTGTACCATAGGATCTTAATAAAAATTTTGTTTTGCAGCTTCTGCTAGTTTAATTAATGTTGGTAGGAAATGTTATGGAAAATGCCCTTTGTGTTTTGTGTTCTGTTTTGTTTTCTACAATATGCCTTCTTTGTTGGGTTTTTGGGGGGGGGGTTGGTTTTTTGGGGGTTTTTTGCATTATATACCAACTATCATAGAGTAGTTGTGAACCAAATTAATACACAGTCTATATTCCTACTGAAATGAAATGGTTTGATTTTCCTTCTTAACAAATTTAAAGTATCTTACACATTCAGTCATGCTGCTTTTCTTTCTGCATTTTCTCTGGATGCAAGTTTTTCAATATTCATCCCAAATTTGTAGAGATCAAAATAGAGATTAGCTGTATCAAAAAATACAGGAAGACTAAGAGGAGATGAATTACTATGGCATAATTTACTGTTATAAATCTTCTGCTGATTTCTTCATTTTTTTTTTTATGATTGTTACTTTATACCATGTAGATGGATTTCTGTATTAGAATACAATTCAAGACTCTTGCAGATTTTAATCTTTTCTTATACTATTTCTATTTCCTTTGAGTCAATTTACAATTTAAGTTGCAGTTCTAACTCCTGCAACATGGAGGAGATTTTGTGCTTGCTTATTTACTTGTCTGTTTACCTATTTACTATGTCAACAATGTAGCTTTGAGCTCTGTAGGATATTACCAGACTTTAAAATGAATCTATATTTCTTCAAAGCATATGCTACAAATAAGACTAGGAAAGCACAAGCTGGTCTATGTGTTTAACTTGAATGAGGTACTGATCTCTCTGGCCTGAGTATTTCAGTCTTTTTTTGTGCTGAAGCATTTTTTCTGGAGCACTGAAGTCATTGGAGCTATGGCATTGAGTCTGAGGGGAGTGCAATTTTTGACTTCAAGTGCAGGGAGATGAAAGAAATAGATTTTATTGTACAAAATCAAGGGACTGCAATAGAAATTGCAATATTTTTACAAGGTTTTTGACTAAAGGTACATGTAACATCCCAGCTGATGTTGGTCTACCAGTGCATTAGCTCCACTGCATTACACAAGTGAAGTTATTTGAAATGAGGCCAGAATTTAGGGACAGAGGATTAATT